CCGGCATTTTATCTTGATACTCGAAATTTAAATCCAATTTATCGTCGGGAGAGAGAGAGAGAGAGAGAGGGAGAGAGAGAATGACGGAGCTGTGGCATTTAAATGAAAAGAAAACATATGTGTATATATAGACATATTGTATATCATACACAGCGTGTACGCGCACATTTCAGATATCTGCAAAATGATTGATCCGATTGTTATAACTCTTGAAACTTTTATCAGTGGAATATATTACCTACTGTATCCAATAATCATTTAAACTTCTGCAACACAGCCAGAGAAACAATCGTATTAATAATCATTAAATTATTATAAATAATTATAAATTTTCGGCTCGATGAATGTTGAGAAAGAGAGAGAGAGAGAAATAGCGCAATCAATCGATTAGCGCGTGGAGAAGCGTCCTTTGTCCATATGACTTTCACTATTACGCAATCGCAGCCGCTCGCCCGTCCGATCTTATTTTTGCTCCGTTTCGTCGTTAGTGCATGGAAGCGCTATTCGCGCCGCTACTTTTTCGCATCCGCGGAAACTTCGTCCCGGGGCCTCTTTGCCTTCCGAACACGTCTTTCGTAACTCAGCAGAGGGGACGCGACGTCGGTCTCCCGGAGAGGACTATTCACGAAGGTGGCCTCCTCCTTCGTGACCGGGAAAGAACTTGGTCCGCGTAAGTCGTGGGAAACCATTCCCGGCCAGCCGTCTCTTCGTCCGGCGCGAACTGCATGTGCACCAACCATATTCGTCTCTATTTCTTTCCAAAAGCAACTCGATAAGAAAATTCTTCGCATTGTTGCCGCGAAATACATATCGCGGGCGGCGACGACGGCGGTAACGGCGGCGGACTCCATCCTCTCGAGCGGTAAAGATTATTTTCGCGGACGGGCGCGGGTCGATCACCGCGAAGTGCCGGCAATGTCGTAAACATTGTTCCATATCCCGTGCGCTCCATCGAGAGGGTCGGTCGTCCCGTGTGCATGCGCGTGTAATCTTCGTGCCGCGAACGTCAGCGTAGACATTTTCGCGAGTTGTTGTATCGCGCACGCCCGAACAAATCTGTACAAGGGAGTGTAACAACGGGATACTCGTACGGTACGGCGCGCTTCGTAGTACGCGATGATGTGTGCGCGCGCGGTACGCGGAGGGTGCGATGAGAATAAATAATTTATTACGCGCGATACCATTGTTCCGTGTTAGCGAGGAATTTGAGAAATTGTCGTTGATTTACTATCTTAGGGGAGAAAATAATTTAAACGGCACGTTAAAACGGGGGCAAGCGTCCCATTTTGGCGGATTAAATAAGAGGAAAGCGGACGATTTATTAAAATAAAATCAATCCGTTCAAGCAAGATCGAGATATATATATATTGTTCTATCGATAATTATGATTGATTTTTATTTGACGTAAGATTAATAACCGATAGCACAACATTTATACATGAGACTGAATTTAACGTTCGCTACTGGATCTAGGACATCTCAAATATAGATATCGATTAATTTATGAGCTATCTTGAAACGCTAACCATGATGAAGTTGGGGAACAACAAACAATTTTTCAGCTTATTTACGACGTAGTTGATGCAGCGACGTAGTTGCTGCATTTTATTTTATTATTTAAGTATTTTGTGCTCCGTTTTGACCTGAAAAAAGCGGTTCATGCATTATTCCGTGGGTTACAAGTTTGGCTCCCAACCAGATAAGTGCGCATATCTCATTTTATCGTATTATCGTGTGTTATCCGTCTCTTATACACGCTGAAGTGGAGACACTGACTAATTTAATCTGTGCTCATTGGCGCGTGAGTAAATCTGTTTTGCGTCAAGAACACCGACCCGCTATTCTTGGACGTACCGCCACGATATTTTTCTTATCCGCGCATCTCGCGAATACAATATCTTGCTCCCCAGAATACACTAGGGTTCCGCATCTGTAGGAGCAACATCGATATTTCACATCGAAATTGCTATCGAAACTTAACATCGATCATCGATGGATATCCACGCGATATTTTGTCGACATTGATGCTTTTATTCAAAGTTATATTATTTTATTACACGCGCAATTTGTATATATATGTACAATAAAAGCATTTAATTTTTTAGTCAATGTTATTAATGAATCTTGTGACTATTTTTCTGTTTTTATATAACGCATTTATTTGATATGCGAATACAAATATGTATTACAATTCCCATTTTTAAATTTTTATTTATGAACTATAAGAACAATATTTGTGATAATTTTTCTTTTAAGCGGTTTTTTCTCTTATATTTAAATATAAAGATAATTCAGATAATTTGTCATCGCCTTGGAATTAATGTAAAAAGAAAAATATCGAAGGCAAGACATCGATAAAATATCGATGCATTATAATACGTTATATCAATGCAAAAGTATTGATATATCGACATTTACCTACCGATATTTTTTACGAAACTCTGGAATATATTCTCCTCACATTTGATTCGTTGCTGAAGATGAGAGAGAAAGGAGAGTAAAAGTTAAATTAATAATTTCATGTTAATACGAAGGATAAGTAAGTGTAATTTTTGTGTCATCAGCCACGGCAGAATTTGCGGATTAATACAAAAATGAAGTTACATATCTGTTCGTGCAGTCATTTCCACTGGAATCAGGACGCACGGACGATTCGGTCTCGCCACAATCAGTACCGAGTAGCGAGTTGCGCGCCTCGATCTTCTCCGTATATTTCTACGGAAGCTTGCTGCGCGAGTCACAGAGCAGTCGCAATAATATTTTCATTTGGTTTTGCCACTCAGTGGCGCGACAGGGCGAGCCGTGTAGTACCGTGGCTTTTAAAGCTCATTCCGAATATGATAACGCAATACTATCGTACTTTGCGATTCCGATATTTGACGAGTGAATTTCAGGATGAACGTATAAACACGTAATACGTAATACGATCGAGCGCCTCCTATAAATTCAAAAAAATCTTACCACGAGAGACACGAGACTCCCGCGTATTTTTGTTCCTATCGAGACGAGCAGCCCTCTGGGATATTTTGCTGCGTTTGTCAAAGGAGGAGAGAAAATTGAACGGACCCAGTCAGCTGCTGCGGCTTTCATATATTTTTCCGCGTTCTTACAAAACGTTCCAGCGCAAAGCGGGTCGATGATTAATTCTGACATCGCAGAGCGCGAGGAAAAACTAATTGATATTAAAAGCTTTCGTTGAATTAACGCGGATAGGTAAACGATGTGGTGACGCGCGTTAAAGCGAGATGAAACAATCCGAATGCGAATAAAGGCCGCACGAGTTTACGCGTTATGTAATCAGGAATGCCGCTGTCAATTATTTAGACACGTGTATTAAGGCCTAAGTCTTATGTCACTTCAGCATAGACATTTTAGACAAATAATCATTTATTCGTATACATCCGTGAATTAGAGGGTAACTCTGAATCACCCGGGGCTGCTACTAATTGTAAGCACAGACTAATCCAGCAATCATATCCATCTGTCATTTACTGAACGCGGATAAAGCGACATGATGGATTCGATAACTTCGCATCCTGTATTAATTGCTGATGCAACTTCGTTCGTACAATCCGCCTGCATCGTTCTCTTAACTAACTTAAATCCCGCGTGTTCTCGTTATCGGCAAGCAACGTTTTGTAAAAATGGTGCTTGCGGCATTTCCGCATACTATCTATGAAATGTATAAAAGGTACAATGAATACAGAGAACACATGCATAAAATACACATCAAAAACGTGTGAATCATGCGGAATAGTAATTTTATACTTGTTTGCACAGCTGTTTTTTTCTTAATTAGTTAATTACCCTTGCGAAAAAATTTCACCGTTTTCACGCCTCAGATGGTCCATTTTCAGCCCGTTTTTAACCCGTTCTTTTATTTTTATGTTCGTTTCCTGCACACTCACGCACGCGCAGTCTATTAAGCGAAGGAATATGACGAGTACACGCGAGTATGAGTATTTCTGACGAGATCGTCCGTCTTCGATACTCGTTTTCCAGCTGATGAGTGACAGCACGTTAATACGTTCCTCTTTTACTTAGTTTCGTTTTACTACGGGAAGAAGCACATTAAAGAATCGTGCATTTACTCGTGCTATCTCAAAATGTGCAATGTGAATGATTGTTGATTTCTTCACAGAAATAACAAACATAGAAATAAACAAAACATTACCTCTACGAAATAAATCTTATTTCCGCGAAATAAGCTTTATATTTTACAAATATATTTTTAAGTACTTTTTTCTTAGTGTAGGAACGGTGAAATATTTTTGTAAGGATATCGTGAACAGGGTATAATTATTTCGTGCAAAATTCCGTTTTTACGGAATTTAAGATCGATGGATACACGTCGCGAATCTCATCCGGCAGCTCTCGCTCGCGGAAAGAAGTCTGCGTCAAAAAAAAAAAAAAAAAGAAAATAGATTTATGCCCCAATACCGCGCGTAGCCTCGCGCAACACCTCGTCGAGCCCTCCGGCCGCCGATCTGCAACAAAGCGACGCGGGTTACGATCCGTTAAAGTCACGCGCTGAAGAAGATCGCCTCGGCGAGAAAGAGCTCCTTGAATGGAACAAAAAACGGATGATCTCCCCCTGTACGATGCGCGGGGGAGCGGAAACGCGGAAGAGTGGACGCGGACCGGACGTGGCCCGGGAGTGCGGTGCTGGGAAAATTCGAGCGGATTTGGGATCGGCAGGGCGAATCGAGATTTTACGAGCGGTTCTCGCCCTGTGAGCGAATGGTTCGCTCGGCCACGTACGTCGATGTCGGAACGTGTTCCCGCGGCGAGTGTGCGGTGTGCAACGCAGAATATTTGCGACAGGCGATAGCGGGGCATGATCGGCCACCGAGATAGTCATCTATCTGACCGTACGAACTACCGCATACTCGCACGACATCACCGTGTGGGTGCTCGCGAGTATGCCTGCGTGTGTGTGTGTACGCGTGAGCGCGCGCTGTTTCTGGGACGTTCTCGTTGCAATGTGGTCATTGTTTCAGTGCCGCCGGATATCCTGGACTATCCCACCAGCACGGACATGGTGGTGCGAGAGGGTAGCAACGTGACGCTACGGTGCGCGGCGACAGGAACACCGGAGCCGACGGTCACGTGGCGTCGCGAGGCAGGCGGCACGATCAGCCTGTCGAACTGGCACGAGCGTACGTATCTACGAGTTACTACGCGCCGCTCCGTCGTCGCTCGGATGTCGATTGTCGCGTTCCGTCGCAACGACCGCCAGCTGCTGCCCCGGAGAGATAGAGTCCTACGTTCCCCGGCTTCCCCCTTTGCTTGATCCTTCGCTCGCACCTCCTTTCAACCCCGTGTCGTTGTCTCGCGTCGTTTCGCGTATATTGGACCTCTAACCCGCTCGAAGAGCGCCTGCTGCGACGCTTTTTCCTTCGCTCCTCCCGAAACAGACTGACAGAAAGCCCGCCACCTCGTTTCGCGCTGATTGCACGAGACGTTTATTGTGTCCCCGGCTGGATCGCTGAATGAGTTTTGATGGGAGGCGCTAAATCGACACGAGTGTGCCTTCAGCCGAACTCCCGACGCGGTCACCCTGGGAATTGTATTTGATAATTTGACGGAACGTCGCGAGTGACGAAATAAATTTGCTCACTGGAAGTAGTCGGAGTAGCGAAGCTTTGCACTCGAGTCGATTCCAACTTTGAGATTCACGTAAGTAACATCGCGGCTTCTCGATCGAGTTCATTTTACTATCTATTTGTGGAAACGTCGAGTGCTCGAATTTTCAAGGCGGATTTTGACGGGGAGAAGTCAGCAAAAGTTGATGATCAGCGAACTGGGATAATTCTGCTCTCCAACTATCCGGTCTTCATAATTCTTTATTATCTCATTAATCCCTATTAGAGTTCCGCATCGGTAAGAACGACATCGACATTGAAATTGCTATCGAAACTTAACATCGATATTTTGTCAACGATCGATGTTTCATTAAAAATTATATTCCTTTATTAACGTGTAATTTTTATACATGAATATAGTGAAAGCATTTCATTTTGTGCCAATGGTTATTAATAAGTCGTCTGAAAAAAATATTTTTCTGTCTTAATATAATACATTTTATTAATTTAGCATGCGCATGCAAATGTAAATTGCAGTTCGCGCAAACATTTTTTTTTATTGATATCGACATTTTTTGTGGAATCCTAACTCCTATGCATTCTCTCTCTCTCTCTCTCTCTCTCTCCTTCTCTCTTGACTCTGTTGACTTATTTTCGTTTTTATGGATGTGAAGCTTTTCTAATTCAATCGACGTTTTCTTATTTCTTCGACGATATAATATTCAACGGTAATTTACTCTCTCTCTATTCTCCCGCGCTTCGTGGACTCTCATAACGGCGAGAGAGTTTAACGATTCGTTACACAAAACGGTTTCTTTCCTGATTTTATTATCAGCGAACTGTCGCTGTCGTGAAGTCTATATCGAAATAAAATCACCGGAGATTTTACAATACAAACTCATTCATTTAATCCATTCGTTGAGAAATTAATTTTGATTACAATTCCGAACGAGTCTCTGTCGCTGCGCTATCCCTGAATAAAGTTCAGCTGCAACTAGTAATCAACATATAATTTAATTTCTTAATTGTCGCAGAGAAAGAATGCGTCATGCGATGGTTCGCGAAGGAACATTTTATCGCTGTCGATGTATACGACGATTTCTCTTTTCGAGAATAGAAAAACTATGTTTTCATATTAACAATTTTATAATGTGGAACACATCACATATACGCGTTGAAGTGTTTTCCAAGTTTGTTACTCAACTTTGCGTAGGATTAAATCTAAAAAGTAACGATATATCTCGCGACTCAACTGAATTCAATATAGGAATGTCTCTACCTTCCGAAAACACCAACGGCCCCAACAGATTCGCCGTCCTGGCAATCCAATCACTCACCCGCTTTCGGTTTCCGGCTTCATTCAATGGCGTTCCCCGTTTTTCGCGTCGCCCGCGCCAGGATTGTTCAGATCTTTCGCTGACTAATTGCACAAGCAAGTGTCGGGGACATTCTCGATTGTACATCAGGCAGGTAGCTAAAGTACCGCTTTAGTTTCTCTCTTTCTCGGCTTCGCGGGCTCTTCTACCAATCCCCTCTTCGCTTTCGCTCCCATTTCTGTCCCTTTTTCGCCGAGTCGGTGCACCGAGTTCCGTGGCACGGAAATACAGCGACAGGCTGTGGTGCGACACTCGTAAAGTATTTTCGTCCTTTCTAGCGAGACCGTGCCAAGGGGCGTGAAGGGACGAAGGGACGTCTCACGTGGTGGTGTTGCAAGACATCGAGGCGACCGTGCTTCCGGTGATTTATTCACCGGACGTAACTCTTATTTCTCGCGGCCGATTTTAAGGAATCGTTTTAAGCATTTGTCGCGTTTCGGTGTTCCTCTATTCGTCTCCCCTTCTCGTCCTCCATGGGAAGATTCGGTCGCGATTCCATTAGGCGATAAGTACCGGAAAATAGAGTATTCCATCGCGCAGCTGTGCACCACCGCTCTTAAGATTTTCGCACTCGACCCGCGCACTTCGTTTGACTCTCGGTAATAGTCCGGGAGACGAAAAGAGGTCCTCCTCTCCATTCTTTTATTTTTCTATGATAATCGGTACTAAGAGATTTCGCTTGTGCTGCGGACGATAAAAGTTTGATGCGCGCATTTACCTCGAAAGTCTCAACAGGTGCGCGAACAGACACGATTTCTAAATTTATCGCGAGGGAAATGTTATTACGCGAGTGATACAAAGGAGGGTAAGCCCGATTAGGGGTAATCGAGACTCTCGGATAAATGGGCCAACGTAATCATTTGCCGGCAATAAAATCGATGTTCGTTATAAAATCATTAAGGAATAGTGAATATTCACGTAATGGTTATCATGTAATTATTAGAGCCAATATATATAATAATTTTATTACTAAAAATTCATCGCTTTTCATTTATTCAAAAGTCTCGATTACCGATTTCACCGTACCCATTAAAACACTATCAAAACGCGGCGTTACGATAATTGTTAATATCGCATTGATTCTCTTTAATAACTTCTGTATTGTAAAAATCGCACGAGGCAATTTTGACTTTTAGTATCCGACATCGTGTGTGCATACGTAGATTGTTGTATGCGCGAAGAAGCTATGTAAAATTATATATGATAATCAATCTGTAAATGAATACGCTAGATTGTCAATTTAACTCCGTCGCGCACTCATCACGCGGAACTAATTGTAATTTCAATATACAAATCGATTAGCACGATTAATTATATAATATCGAAATTAAGGAAATATACATTTTAATTAAACTTGAAATCAATTGTTCCACAATTTCAAGCTGGTCGACCGTGTTGCAGTGCGTGAAACGGGAATTATCGGAAAACATCAGAGAGCAAATATTAGTTTACGACAGATGAAATTGCAACTGACATAATGAGTACTACTCTCTTTGTTCACTTTTGTAGGATATTAATATTTATATCGCGTTTAGTGCATGTAGCACGATTTTCGCGGCGGAAACAAAATCGTGTCACGTAATAGCGGCGAATCGACGTGTTATTTACGTTCATTTTTTCCATTGTTAATAACTACATCGCGAAATATTTTAATTGCTTTACCGCATTCCCGATGTGGGAAGAGGGAAAGAGGACAGAGTAGTACAGTCTGTATAAACATGCTATCCAAATTGCATGCTGTAATATTTTGCAGGATACCGCGTATAAGTTTAACACGTTGCATATTTCACGTTCTCGCCACTTGCTTACCACGTAATTATCGTGTATGCGCTTGTTGGTTGCATTACACGATACGTGTCAGGTGCGTGTTATAGAAGGGATGTCAGGAAAATGAAGAGAAAATATAACAAACGGTTCAAGCTCTGAAATTATTACTTGCTTAGGAGGATTAACGAAAATCTGACAGGTGTGCGCGAAATGAACCGAAGCTGTTTTTGCCATCATTATAGCACGTATATTTACACGAAAATAATGATACTTCTCAACGATACTTTTCGAAATTATATGTACAGATACAGGTCAGAAGCATTTAGATCGCGGCATGAATATATTTCTGACTTTGAAGAGAAAAAGCGGAATTCAAATCGCGAAACGTTTCGAGCGTGCTCTTTGATGCACTCGAGAATTATCGTTCTTCGATAAACGAATGCACTGTCTCGTCACTCGTGACAGCGGTAACTACAAAAGATTGAGCCGGTGATAGATCGCATGGTACACAACCGCGATATTTTCATGCAGTCAAAAATCTTTTCAATCGCGTGGCAATGTTCGAGCGTTCGCACACATCTTTCGGATGCAAATAAAAGATCTTTTCTCCTTCATACGTGATAAATTAATAACAATATATTCAATGTCATCTCTCTCGCGTTGCAACGCGAATGTTTGCCATTTTTCTTTACTGGTTTCTTCAATAAGAAATATAAATGACATCAAACGACACGGAGCTCATAATTAATCATGTACGTGAATTGACGTAGTCAATTCACAATAATAACAGTAGTCCAGCAACTTTGGTAAATGCAAATGTAAAGATTCACGTATTTTAAGCGAAGAAGAAAACGCGTCCACGATTCGAGAGTCACTCGTTTCACGGGAAAATTGACGACGCGGCATTAACACGTGCAATTGGTTAGATGGCGTCGTAGAAACGTGTCGTCGGACTACGAGCGAAGCATACATAACAACAATGCGCCGTAACCCATGTTTCTATGTACGCGAATTTGTATGCTTGTATAAACTGTTGCAGCAGTGGCGAGTATCGAAGGCCCGGAGCTGGAAATAACACGCGTCACGCGTCTCCATATGGGACCGTATCTCTGCATAGCGTCCAACGGAGTGCCACCGACAGTCAGCAAGCGGATCGTTCTCATTGTTCACTGTACGTAACTTTACTATGCGATTCTAGATTCCGCTTTACGACCGGCGTCAAGGAGGACCTCCATCAATGTGGCAAGCGCGGAACGTGGCGAAATAAAATATTGGCGCGAATGGCTTTTCTATCGCGACATGAGGGAATATATCGCGCGTTTACCCGCGCGTGTAAAATATTTCTTCATCCTCTGAGATGAGAATTTGAAAGGGATTATTTATATTTATATTATCGCGCGCATCAGATTATTTAGTTTTATCAATATTTATTCAAATATCCGATCGTCGTTAATTAACTCTTAATATTCCAAATACTTTTCAAGGAAAACGTACGCGTGACATCGTATTATCGCGGTTTCTGTTGCGAAATGGACATTTTTAGTCCGCTCAAAAATACGGTGATTCAGTTTTCGAAACGTGCATTATTTTTCACGAATATACGCTTACGCGAAATACGTGAAATGCACAAGGAGTGATATTTTATGCAATTCCATTCTATCGCGATTCTTTCTTATGCGCGCCTCGCGCCTGCCACAAAATATAATTTAAATTGTCGTGCTCGCGCGTGGTGTGAGCGATCTCGCGTAATGACGCCTCTCGGGGTAGGCATGGTGAATAGCTGATCCCGAGGGCCATTGTTCCTCGAAACCGAGTTAAATCTTTCCCGCCGCTGGCTGCGTAATTTTACCGCGTGATGTCACGACTCGCTCACGACAGGGACGAGTGACGTTTCTGGATTGATTAAAAAATAAGAGCCCCCGTTTGGTGGAAGTCTCTTCTAAAAATGAACGCCAGAGCTTTCGTAGGGCTTTGCTTTAAACGTCAGATGCTGTATTCCGGGATGAGTTTGAAAAGGATTTTCCCCCGACAAACGTCTGATTACATCCTATTCTCTTCGCATTTCTCATCTCTCCTCAGCTTGAGACGTCTTGCTAATTAACCTTCGAATTAAGATGTTAACACGATAATAATCGACCAGTTAGAAATTGCAGACGCTGATATATTTTGTTTTCAAATATGGAATTAATCCACCCTTTATCGCGCGTAATTTTTCCATTTCAATGCTAGAAACGCGAAAGTATCAGAAACACGTGTACCGTAAATTTTTATTCAATATGACATGCGTGCTCCCTTCCTGCCCAATGATAGCCCATTGATAGCGCAATAATTATCTTTAATATTTCCGTATTTAATCTATATATTTTATCAAGATGCATCACTTTGCTCAGTTCAGCCCATGGTTTTCATCGAGAATCAGTTGGTGGGTGCTTACGAAGGACAAACTCTCACGTTGGAGTGTCGTAGCGAAGCGTTCCCCAGACCTATTACTTATTGGACGAGGCCATCGAACGAAACCATTGCTAACGGTGCGTAAACACTTTTACTTCTCCTAACGAAACTCTCTACTCTCACCTTAATGATACACTAAATCACGAAATAGAATCACAGTGGAAGAATACTCGAATGACGTTCACCGTTTGTCTCCATCGGAAAAGAAGGGTGGAAACAACAGCCGCTCGTTTCTCCACTGATTTAAAGTCATTATTATAAATCGCTCAGCCGTCTTTTTTCGCGTGCGCACACTGGGAGGTGCACGACGCTGCACACGCACGAACAGCTGTAATGCGATTCGCCTTAATTACGTCGCGCTAACGCGGTCGTTCCGTTCTAATTGCTACCGTGCACCTTCGCGATACGCCACAGGGGTTAAGGGCAAGGGCAGCGGCATTAAAAGTTAAGACGTGTGCGTGCCGCGTAGTGCCGGGTCGCTAATCCGTGACAGCACCCTCCCTCTCACAGGTAGGCGGCGGGCTAAAATTTCTTCCTTAAAGTGTTATAATGGCACGATGCATTCGAATCAATTAAGAGCACGCGGCATTGTTTGCACGCGGATACCGCTTTTTATCTATCCCCGGAACTTTCTGGTCTACTACTCTCCCACTTAATTGATGTTTGATGGAAAAGTTGCCGGAAACTTGGCGAATAAGCTCGGTATCGAAATTTTTATCGGCCTATTCCGCGTCGTCGTGTTCCGTGTCGAAATTTTAATTCTACATTGATCCTGCAAATCCCTTCGAGTTCGAAGGATCAATTAAGAATCTCAAGATATAACAAGCTGTTGGAAATCCGTATAGCAAATAATGTGATGTACCTTGAAATACATGATGTACCGCTGCCCGTATCGTGGCGTCCTGCGTCCTCCATTCTGGTTTCTCGATCCAGTATCCTGGCTCCTCCATCATGGCACTAACACTGACACTCGCGCAAATACGATTCAGTATATGTTATGTGATATCAACAAGAGCTTGATTAAATAGTTTAAGAGTCGAAATATTTTCATCAATCGACGGGAATGATGAATAATACATCGACTCACGCGCTCCGTATGTATGCACACCGCTTGTCAACTCGAGGCATAATGACGTAAACACTCGGAAAAGTGCGCAGTGCGCGAAAATACGTTCAACCTTCTTGAAAGTCGGCGATAGTTTGATTGTTGCGATCTCGGTATTTAGTGATAAGCAGTGTCGGTTGGCGATTTAACGGAAAGTAAGATAAGTTTGCACTTCTTGTCCATTATTTTGGTGCACATCGCGCATCTCTGCGTGGGCGAATGTTAGTAACGTCACGAGCCGGCGAGTTATAACTTCCATCGAGTGATAAAAATATTTCGTCCGCTCTTAAAATATTCAATCGGATTCTCGTTGGTATCACCATAAATAACATACGTTTCTCCGATTGACTCGTATCTGTGTGAATGTCTGCCACGAGCTACTATCTGGAACGCCACACACTAAAAGAAAAGATATCTAGAAAATACAAAATATTTATTCGGTGGGTATTAATAACACATCTATTTATACTAATATACATATTTTTACATCGGAAAAAAATGTGTTTCAAGTGAGAAAATATACATAAAAAATACAATTAAAGATTAACCAAAGGACGATTTCGCGAGATTCATGAGAATTCTTCCTCATTGGCTGTTGGTACGTTGATAATAGCGTTATCTTCATTCATTCAATGTTTCGTTAGAACAGTACAATTTTCACAAGTATTCCGAAGACGTTATATAAATGCAGGATAAAAGTATTCGCTGGAAAGTATGCTACTCAAAACGATGCCGAGCATTCATTGTCGAGCTATTCGACTTTCAAATTAAATTCTTCCTGCATCAACTGGTAATAAACTTTGCAAAAATGATGAACTGACCGACATATACATTCCGTCAATATTATACCGGACTTACTTTCCGCCACTATCATATTTGAATATATATATATATATATATATCTATATACGCGCGTTCAATTTTGTTATTGAAAATATTCCGATAAGATGCGCATACGATAAAACTCATTTTTCAACTCTGCCGTGTTTATGCGCCTTTGAGCAATGTTTATTCATAAAATCGTGTATATTCGTACGATCGGCGGTGCGACGCGAATAAACTTTCGTGAAATAGTGCGATTTGATTGTGGCGGATAAAGTGACACGTATGCGCGAATGAGCATTGGTATAAACCTTTACTAATATTTCCGCGTCGCCACGTGTGTAGCTTCGAACTAATAATATGAAGATCGACATTCGTATCATTTTCCACACGCCAGAACGAAAACGAATGCGCCAAAAATATGACCCGTACCGCGCATAGTTCGCACCGGGTTCCATGATACTTAAGCGGCTTGCAACATAAATACGAAGTTCGTACCGCGGCGCACATCGATCCGGAATTTTCCGTTATTCCGGCTGACACGAAAGCTAGTCTAGTTAGCGTTACATCATCCGCTGCAGTGAAACGAATTAGCTTTTTTAACGAGAAACAAGTACATCAATATGAAAAAGCCGATTTCGCGATTCGTGTACTTTCAGGTAACAACTCTCCGAGTCATTGACTTCGAGCAGGAAGTGCGAGTGCGATTTTAATCTAGGCAAACGCACGCGTCGTTTGTGTTTCACACGTGTTGTTTTTATTTTATTATTCTCCCGCAATGATGTGTTAATATATATTTATTATAACCGATATTCTATTAACTTAATACGTGTGATATTACTTCATAATATCAGTTAAAAATACACATTTTACCGATATAATGTTTTGTGTGCTTATAGGTCTGTGATACAAATTGAAAAAAATACCTTTAAAAGTGTAACAGCCACGTGGAAAATATTTAATATTTTTTACTATTTCCGATGTTAAAGAGACTGCAAAAGATCGTTATAAAAATATCACTGAAATATTTAACTGCATATCCCAAAGACACATTGGAATTTTTACGTTTCATGAGAGAGGAAATTACTTCGCAAAGGATTTAATTCTATTTTCTTTTTCTCGACGATGTAACATATAAGAACTTTAATTATCGCGAGAGTTACAATCATCCCCCGTTGATCCCAGGCTCTTATTAAGAATAACGATTTGCAGAACATAAGAAAATAGATAAAATATCGATAGATCGTAAAAATCCCCGCGGGAGTTGACAATTTCGATTCCGAGGATTGGAAGTGTCATTTCATGGACTTTTCCGCCGGTGCGTCTTCATCTCGACGTACTTATCGCACGTAATCTATATGCCAATACTTTTGCGCTTTTCAGATGAGAATTACAAGGTCGAATCAATCCCTAAAGGATACGAGATTACGATGAAGCTCGTCATAAGGTCTGTACGAATTCAAGATTTTGGATCCTTTCGGTGCGTAGCAACGAATTCCCTCGGGGAGACTGATGGAAAGATAAAACTTTACAGTGAGTATTACAGGTCCATTCGTCTCTCTAAATATTACATTATTACATACATGAAATAGTACCTGTCCAAACTGACACTTCGCATGTTGGAGATGTTGAATGTAAAATCACTTTCGAGGCATTTGTTATTTTTCAAATTGCTTTTCAACGGCTTTGTCACATTATCCATTTTATTCCATCGTATCGAAAACTGTTCGCACCGCATACCTTATTTAATTTTCATAATCTGTGTATTATTTCAATATTCATGTCGCTTTGCGATATATAATTTCCTGATACGGATAATTTACTGATATAACTAAATTTTACTTTATAAATTTCGCACTATTTTTCTTCCTTCTACGCTTCTCGGCTGTTTTTCCAATAATGTTGTTGTACGCGGGAGAAAAAATCTCGGTTACTTATGTAAATTGGAATTCCATGTATGGACAGTATAAAATAATAAGCGTTACACATGTTATAATTTTATAGATTGCAAAAACTCAAAAAGTTGGCATTTTCATTATTTTCACGTTATTTCTCCAACAGCATCGGCTGTCTGCATATGTAAAATTTTAATTTTATTTGTTACTAACACACAAAAACACATGTGATACGGAACAATCTCGTAGTTTAATTTGTTTCACGAAAATACACGAGTCGAAACTTATTGTGGCGAATATAATATTATAAATATGCAAGCACGTACACACACACACACACAACGGTAGAACGCAACGAACGAAAAAATCCGTTCTCGCACGATGCGTCTCTCAAATAACATGCGAATTAATTAAATAATACGGCACGTATATGTTGCGATATGGTTGTTTCGAGGGCAGCGGAACATCTCGTTCCGGAATTAAACTAGCAGGCGCGATTCTTAAACGGATAACTTATCGGTTTATCGCCGATCGATATGCCCTCTCGACGTAATTGCCCCAATCTCAGTGTACCAATGCACCTCGTCCCTCGCTTCACGGCGCCATTGCTAGATTCCATCATCGTTCCGTACATATACGAACTTTGGAAGTCAAACATTTTCCCCTTTCCCATCCAGTACCTCCCGTGCGACTCTGTTCGCCCACTCGTGCTGATGGAAAATAAAAAGAGAGGCAATCTCGCGAAACGTGAAGGATGTCGCTGCTCATTAGCTAACGACATTAGTAACTTCGTCATTTCTTCACGTTCATAACGATGAACGATAGCCATCCGCACGAGAACTTACGAGCTCCTCGCAGGTGCGTTCGTTGCACTGCGGGTTGCGAGGCGTCGAGTTTCGCTACGTCACGTCACATCGCGTCATGTCATCTTCGTGTCACTACGTCAAGTGTCCGTCCAGCTTGTCGTCATTATATTTCATTGGGTCTCTCGCGCGAGATTCAAGTGGCAAGCACACCAAACCGCGTAAAGCACGACCCGTCCGTTCCGTCCGACCCCGCTGATGTTAATTGATCGCCTCTCCAATTAGAGTGTCGACGCAGAGGTGGAGGGGAGGGTAACGAGGACGAAGGACGGACGCGGTCTCCGTTCAAAGGGAATGAGAGAGAGAGAGAGAGAGAGAGAAATAGAGATAGACAGAGGGAGAGACACAGAGAAATCCAGAGAGAGAGAGAAAGGGGATGGCTTTAACGAAAATCGCCGTTCATGATGATTGGATAAGGGAGAACGAACAGAAGGGGACAATGAGGGGAAGAGGCAAGTCGCGGGGAACACGCGCGAGGCACTTAATTACCGACAATTGCAAATAAAACGCCGGCTGCGGTCGAAGCGACGACGGGAAAGCCGGAGGACACGCCCGCGCACGCCTGTGCGACGTCACGAATTTCCATTCTCGCGAATCACTTCTCCAGTAATTAGCCCGGCGGTTTAATCCAACGGGTCGCGCCCCATTGAAATGCCGGTCGATCTATGCATGCCGCCCTGTCGCTTGTAGCCGGGAGCTTTTTCCGGCGCCGGCGGCACGGCGCACACGCTTAACAATATTAGCAATAATTACCGGGGGGGAACGAGCCGTGGATTATATGCTCCGCTAAAGTCGGTTAACTTCGATGGGAATCTTAGTTGTGTTCGAAGCACGGACAAGCACAGCGAAGGCAGGGAGAGACGAGGACGGGGAAGAAGGACGAATTATCGACGGACGTGGCGCGCGCGAGCGAGCGAGTGCCTCGTGCGCGGGAAGAGAGGCGAGTTACGAGGGGGATGCTTTAAGAGCGGGTAAGACTATAAGGAACTTTGTGCTCGAGTCGCGCCATCACGTCGGTCGTTCCGAGTCTGTACAATGACGTGCACGCACGGCATGCAAGTCTGTGCATGATGGCCTATATTCAAATTGCATTATATCGCCGGATGAGGGGAGAGAGAGCGCGCGCGCGCGCTCGCGCGTACGTATAGATGTGACCGATAAATACGGACGTGGAAGGCATGGTCGTTAGTTCACTTTTGCTTCGCTTACCCTGGCGAGTGCTCTTTAAGAGAGGGTTCTTTAAGTCGCAATTGCTCCCGTAGATGTGATTTCGCGGCGCTCGGTGCGTTGCTACGCGATGAAATAACTCGCGGAAATTAATCAGAGATTCGTCGCGTAATCGCGACTCCAGTACCATCTAATCGGTACGTTGCAGTGAAGGCTGGCTGCGTTTAATTGTATCGAAGAGCGTTATTTAATTACGCACACCGACGATATGCGCCATATCTGGTATATGGTAAAATTACCGCGTCAGTTTATGTTATAATCGCGTCTACATAGTAATACGAATAATATAACCGCGGCGCCTCTCCACCTTTTACCATTCCCAACCCCCTCGCTCTCCCTTCCCTTCCCATCTGGCTGATAACGCAGACAAAATTTTCTATGGCGGAGTTATTATCTTCGCGTTACTCGCGATTCTTTGCGAGAGACGGATGAAAAGATGAATGGAAAGAAGACAACTTGAATTATTTTACCTCCACGCTTGATCATTGCTCACCCTCAGACGCTATTAAGCGTGTTACCGTGAAATGGCAGGCATCGCCGGTAGTGAAGTGAATAGAATTGCGGGTCTTACCGTGGAACACATTACCAACTAATTGCAGTGAGGTGGAAGAGCTCCGAGCATCTTAAACCGCAGTCGCAATATTCATTACCACAGGCATAGAGAGAGCATCAAAGAAAATGATAGAACGGCGCGCTGATAAATGTAAATTTGTAATTTAAGGTATTTGGGACAATAACCGTTTCGACAGCTCCTCGGTAATAGCGGGTATACCATAAAGCCTAGCCGCAATTCCGATATTCGGACGGGATCTGTGTACCTATATGCGTGTGTTTAAGCGTATTAATTAATGTATTTATTAGATTACGTTGTTGTACCAAATTGTCAGGATCGCCGGGACACACATTTCGCATCTGTACTTCGGAACATGTAGTGGAGCGTATGCTTTCCGAGATTTGCAAACAGTACCACGGGTAAACATAAACGCATTGACCTTGCACAAGTAAATACGATTGTCGTTTGCGAATTGAAATCAACGTTCCATAAGCTCTTCAGCACATCGAACGAAAGTTGATTATTACTTCAACAAAGTTCAGTCCGAGCGTGCTCGCTAAGATGGTGTGCGCGTAGAAACTTTAAAAAGCGGCAACAAAGGGAGAAAAAGTTGTGCAATTATATGAATAGTAATGGTGTAAATATTAATTACACACTCGAATATATGCGAATTTTAAACTGAAACTTTTACGTTCACGCTTAAAATTGCACAAACCTTTTAGTAGTCATAAAATTCGGGTGATAAAAGAGACCATTTATTAACTTATTACACAGCGACGAGAGCGAAAGCGAGAGATTCCCGGTAGCGCGCAAACTTATCGAAAATATCTCCATTGAATGAGCATCAACGTTAGCCTTTGTTCGCGATCTCAATTGTCTCCAGCTGTCACCTCGACATGTTGCCGGCGTGCTGTCATCCTGCGGATTAATTAGAAAAAGTGCACCTTCGTCTCGTACGTACTACGTAACGCCGATGCACACGCTAGAGAATTAATATCGCCCCCTCTCGAACTCTCGACATTTCGACGGAGCGTGCAAGTGACAAGAGCTCTCTCGGTTTTGTGGAAACGCTTCGTTCGGACGACATTCCAATACGTCAAACCGGAAAGCATCGCGCGGAAAGTCCGACCGCTTGGCCGATTATTTTTCCGGTTATTACTCGCGGACAGGCTTTACCGATATCTCGATTCGCCATTTACGCCCGTTCGTTTCGAACGCGATCCGACGTAAAGCGGCTTTCCTCGTTGCATACCGTGACGGACGTTCAATCTTCATTCTGATGATCAGATCCCGAATTCAGGTGCTCGCGTTTATCAGTGCGATCCCGGCGATTAACTGGCGAAAATCACGACCATTTATGCTGCTGTCTCACCTCGACGTTTCAACTTAATACTAGCGGTCCGAATGCTCCGAACGATCGAAAATAAAAACTCTGGCAAATTAAACAGCGAGCGCGCAAAAATCATCGTGTTTCTCGTCTTAATTTCGAACAAAATTTATTTCGACAGAATTCCAATACGAAGGGAAGTCAGTTGCAAATGGCGAACCTGGAAATATTACGCGGAAATATTGCGTTCTTTTGTCAAAGTAGAAACTTGAACTCGTTCAAAGAGTCCGTGTATAAAAGCGATAATAATAGCTCTGAAGAAATTCCGCGTAGAAAAAGGGAAGCAGGATACGCATTATTCTCTCAAATTACATAGCGAAGCCGTAGGAAGATCTGTTTTAAGAAGCTGCTGCGAAATATCTCATTTTCTATCAAGAAAATACGTCTGATGCGTGCGCACGTGTGTGTGTATGTGTGTACGCGCGGATTGACAGGTTTCTCTGATTTCGATGACCGAATTCTCATTGTATCGCCACATTTTCAGGGATTGACAGGCCGCCAACTACGCGGAAACCGGGCGCGAGACGGGAGTCGAAGAAGACGTGGAAGATGGATCATAGCCATGAGAAGAAGGCCGCCGGTATGAAGGACGAGCCGATGTTGAAGGGTGACGATAATGGCGACGAACAGATCGATTTTCAATCGGCCACGGCCTCATCGGTGCTTCATCGGCATTTGCTTACGAATCTCGGGATAACAGTCATAACCGCGATACTGGCCGGCAGTTTGTCCACGTAGACACGCACGGCGTCGCGATGCGTTCGCCGATTACGTGCGAACGCGACTAACGTTACGGAAAGCATTTTCACATACGGGAGCGGACCTCGCGTATGGCAAAACGTCACAACGAAGGAATGCCGATAAGAATAACGCCGCGTGCGCGGGGGGTCTCGCGAGAAAAAAGCTTTCCGCAAAAAGTCTCTTCCTGTGTACATGAAATTTGCATGAAGTGGCCGTAAAGCGACGAGACAGCTGTTTTTATACGGAGACTCACGGAGAGTCCGAAGTACCCGGAACTGATCGAGCCAAAGTGACCAGGGTGCTTCGTGTGAAGCGCAATTAACACATCACAAGCCGAACGTGTACTAATAGACTTTCCTCTCTATCCAAAGACGTAGGAAGCCACCAATCTATTAAGCCCTTTACACCGAAGGTGCCGGCGTAGCTGGCTTTTACCGTTTCCATTCCAAGCGGTAACTTTGTTGACCTCACCATCACTTAAAGCTGAAGAAGAAAGTCCGTGGATCCGGTAAAAAGGGGATATATATTATTTGCGATCGCGCTTCTCCTTTTAAACCGTTGAAATGGATTACCGATAGCAAAATAGAAAGAACACTTTCCAATCTATTTAAATTGTATGCGGGTATATTTTATGTGTTTTATTTTAAGAATTCAAAATGTATATAAAATAATCCCTTTTGATCTGTAAAAAATTGACGATCCAATTTTTTTTCTCTTTTTTACGTCGGTATTGGCGCGAGTGCAGACAAAGATATAAAAACGTATGAAATGTAACGTTACTTTTGTATTTCAAAGTACCAGCAAAGTGTACATCGCTTGCAATATGTTAATAGCGCTTAAAGAGCGTAAGGGCGCGAGGAATGAGAGTGGTGATTGCAATGTGCGTATGCGCAAATGAATTCGTACATAACAATATTTTTTGTAAAGAATTTTTCGCAAAACTGCGAATTGTTTTCCGAAATCGGCAGTTTCTACAGCAGTATATTCAAAACTCATTACAAATGCGTTATACGTACCAAAAACACCCGGATACTTTTGGCTTAATTTCAAAATGTCGGACTTTTAATTATTATTAATCATCCTTTCCTTCTACAACAAATGTAAATGTTAGAGAATACTGAACTTCGTTGTTTCACGTAGCGCGTATCGGTTAAAAATAACAAATTCTTTTGTATATACAATGAAAATAAAAAACTTTGAAAAAATACATTGAAATTTACTCGTTAAGGAAATTAAAAAAAAAATGTAACGAATAAATGAATAATCAGGACGGTAGACGCTTGCGAATTGTAATGCCGTTATGTTATATTATTGCTTCGTGAATCGATACATATTACACATATTTACGGTATTTACAAATTTCATCGATCCTACATATCTATTTATATTTCATTCTTTCTCAAGCATAAATTACGTTGCTAAACCATAGGTATGTGCCTCACCGAGAATATTTCCATCAGAAGGGGATTTATTTCGCTTAAATATGTCGCAATAACTTTCAGACTGAGTTGCAAGATGGATTCACGATGTTATATTATAGGTACTATTCCGATGATCTATATCGGTGGCTATAAAGGAGATTGCTTCACACTTTACGTTTGCTTCAAACTGGTAGATGTGAATAGACTTTATTACAATTCGAACAGTTCGAGCGAGCAATAAAATTGCGCTTTACAAAACGTGCTAATTGGATAGAATTATAAAAAATTTAAACGTCTCATAGATGACGTATTTATTATTGTGACATCAACGAAACGATAATTACAATATTTTGCGAGGTTCCTTTCGTAAATTTTGTTATAGTTGCTTCGTTGGATAATAATTTTATTACTATATGAGATTTTATGATAATGAAAAACAAATAGGTCATTATCATATCATTATTTCATAATTTTTTTAGGTGATTAAGAAAAATAAAAAGAATATAAATAATTTTATTTATAGTTATATTTCTAACAGTCGTAACTATTATTGATCATAAAAGTGTCCAGCTTGAGAACAAAGAGTGGCCAAAATATTTATGGACATTTTATACAAAAGTGTTCAATTAAAAAAAAGGAAGATAAAGATCACGTTACGACCGAAATACGTAAGAAATAATTTTACTTATCACAATTGCAGTTTTGTTTCCTCGATTTGCGGACACGTGTTCTCAATTATCGCTAAATTCTGCATATATATGTCGAATTGCTAATCTAAGGTAACTATCGCGTTTATTTTACAGGATGACAATAATTTTCCGAAAGCTTCCGTCATTACAACGGAATGTTCAATAAAGTATTTTTAATTCAAATACCTCGAGAGACCATGCGAATGATATAGTAAATAGATTTATTACGTATTGTAAATACAAAAAAGTGACATGCATCCGTAGAAAGTATTGATAATGGGTTCGCGAATTTTTTCATTCGTACGCTGTAATTTAGCGATTAATAGAATGCGGAAGTTTGTGAGACTTCGAGAGATTCGCTTCGAGAGATATTAACCGTTTGAGTACCAAGGAGCGATTTTGCGCTTCTTCTGTTTCGCTCGAAAAGTACCAGTACCGATAACCGGCACACGCTCGACTTCTGTCGATGCACAACTTTACGGCTACCATTCCGTTTTAGGTAAAAATGAAATAATGAGACAACTGATAAAAGAACGAATTTTAATTGCAATCTAACATTTGGATGCAATCATCGGAGAATAAGACAAGCGCTATCGCACCGTTTGGCATTTCTGGATGGGGAATAAGACAAGCGAAAAAGCGCTCCTTGGCACGTTTGGACGGAGAAACAGCAGAGACGCGTGGCACTCAAACGGTTAACAAGCATTAGAGCGTAGCCCAGTTGTCTTGTCGACAACACGGGTAATTGTTTTCACGTAAATTTTCGCTTACTAATTATAAATAGATTTGCTCTTCTACCTTATTATTCATGTCGTCAAGGCAGTTGGTTTGCTTTCATGCATTTCGGACCACCCAAGGCTCTCTGCGAAGCTTTACGGATTTCCGCAGCTTACTGATTAGTGTTCTAATAGATAAATAATGATCATGTAGTACGTACATCAACGAACAGTGGGAATACCGTAACATAATGTTTCCTGAATTGTAGGCCGTAAACCGTTAAAAGATTCGTGAATATTTCTTACAAACGAATCATCATATTAATCGCGCAGATCTTAATACAAGTTTTCGTATGTGTGTCATTTTGTATTCCGGGCATTTAAAATACGCAAGATGTTTTAGAATTATAGATAGAGACTTGACTGATTAAAATGGAACTCGAAAAAATAACGAAAAAAACGAATAGATCCTACTAAATACAAGTACGAGAATTGCATCATTTTCGAAATATCCAGCTTTCTATTCGATGAGCTACATTCTTCAAATAATATCACAATGTGAAAAACTGATATTTTAGAGAAATTGGAGTGTCAGCAATTTACAGGAAGCCGAGATACATACTAATAAGTGGACTGCCACGCTGATTCTCCTAATTATTTCAATGCTCAATTCAAATTTGAATCACCAATAAAATATGCAGTAAATAAATTCACGATACGTATATTCGTTAGCTCGTTTCATTGGCTCTTTATCAACTATATCGAACTTGTTATACACAGTTAGTTACATTTTATAAATTGTAATTTTGTAAATTGAGACGTAAAGTGAGACGCGGCAATATTGTAGCGCTGGGCACACTGGTACGTTGCCAAACCACCACGGCAATCAACATGTTAATCTTCTTCACATACTAATTTCTAAAACTCGTAGTTGATTTTAACTATCTTTGCATACGGGATTTTACGTACAAAGTTACGAAGAACGGTTCCATCACGAAGATCGTATCGAAGCCGCCGAATCTTAATCGATCGCAACGTTTGGCGGCGATTGTCCTTTGAACCGGCGATAAGAGAACAACATAGACGCGTGCGTGATTGGGTGACAAAAATATTCCTTTTTATTTCATGTCTTTACGCCGATTCGTTCACGAATTACGGGGTCGTTGACTGCTACGGGACTTTTCACGATTCTGGTCTAAGAAGCCAAATTGATTTAATCAAGTAATGAAGCGACGAGATAACTCGTAGTTGGCGTCCTGGGCAAGTCAACAACCTACGAGATATCTCGTAGTTGGCAGTCAACGTGTTAAACGTTCGTTGTGACGCGAATGCCCCCACGTGACTCGCTGACCATGTGCCGGGAGCGCGATAGTAGGGGCAAGGCCGCTTCACGTAACGTTTCGTATCGCGCGTAAACTTTTCAGAAACCTATCTGAAAATGCGGCGGTTCTGCCACCCACGCATAACGGCAAACAGCTGGTGCCGCTGACCTACCGCAACAGCGCCGAGCCGATCGAAAGCGCGGTATGATCGTCAATATCTCCGCTGCTAGATATTGAAGTGACTTTGAGCAAAAATTAAAAACTGAGCATTGAAGCAATGATCTATTAGCGCAATTAGGCTGTTATGATAGAAGAGACCGATTGTCTTCGAGTTTTAGTGAAAATTAATCTATTGTGGAAACTCAAAAATCTTGGCTGACATTAATAATGTCATAAGACGTTTTTATTGATAAAACGCAATTAAATCGTAATCATGGAAAGAACGTAGCTTATGTACATGTGGTTTACAAAGAAAGCCGAATATCTCGAAGATGATGTAGTTTGCGGATATAAACATTAAGATTTCTTGTTTGTTCTTGTGGCTTCTCTATTAGATAGTTAAGTTTCTATCTTTAATTCCGAAATATCTCGTATATCTCTAAGTTTTGATCTAAATCATGATTTGTCGAATGAACAATGATGATAATTAGTGTTATATTCTCATCAACGTTAAATTAAAAGTTTTACGTTCGAACGTACGTATAGAAATATTTTAAACAGGATATTATACTCATTTTAAGATATAAACGCGTTAAACATAGGTGATATAGTGAATCTGTAGAATGCTACGTATTATAAATATTAATATTGCTTAAAAAACGCGGAACATGCAATAATTTCGATTGTCGACGTATTAGCGACACGAATCAGTCGTGCTTTCATTTCGTTTGTTCTTAATGATCGTTTGTTCTTATTTAATCTAATCAGCCGTGTTCCGTCAGACGGCAATAAGAAAGCTGCAGGTCTAGTCTGAATTTTTCGAATCTATCAATTTCGTAATGCCGCTTGCGTACGTTTGTGATGACCCCAAATGCGCTGTGTACATACATGTAGATGTGTGATAACCGACAAATTATTGTACGGCGCCGCATTCGTTCAAATGCATAGAGCAATTGGTATTGTATGATAATAGTGTGTGTACGATATTGTAGAATAAGCCTCAGGGACATGTATATACGTTAAGCTGTAAGTTATGTTAGTTTTTGCATTCGTGGTCACGATAACTCTTCCCTCCCTTGTAAATATAATATACCTTATCGTGTATTTGGGCAATAAATGTTAGACAATCGTGATAATTGTCTGTGCAAATGGTTACGTTTTACGCTATAAGCTCGTTCCATTTCTTTTTATCAACCTTCTTCCTTTACGATAACGAAACGTTTGCTAAGTTACAGACCGAACGTAAAAGTATTATATTCAATTAAAGATATATTACATGCAGACTACTTTATCCTATTCAATATTTATTCTTTAACATATATTTATAACGTATATTTTTGATCAATTTGAAGCTCACAATTTTTAACCCTTTGCACTCGAAGGCTCCGGGGCGGAGCCATTTAAAGTTTGTCTTCAAACTTAAAACAAACTATTAACAACTATTAACAAATTAAGAAAATTTAAAAAACAATAACATACAACAATAACTTTTCTTTTAATGCGCATATCATTTACTTATATGTGAATATGATCTTTTCACTGAAATTGCTTCGAGTTGCTGGTAATATGAATGAAAAAAAACTTCGAGTGCAAAGGGTTAAAAATACTTTTAATGAAGAATTCACCTAAAACATCGTTTCACAAATTTTTTCATACATTTATTTTTCTTACTGTTTTCAAATAAAAATTTTGTTGGTATTACAGGAAAGAATAAGATTCTGTTATCTATGGAATGCTTCATACATTTTCAACTGAATTTTGGACGTTAAACAACAGATGGCAAAAAGAGATTTATGTTAT